ATATGCCATTGTGTCCCTTCTGTTATTGTTTGTAAAGGAGGTTAAACACTGTATTAACTTCTGAGTAGTGATTTACTGTTGCTTTGTTAGAGGAAAATAAAAAAGAAGTAAAATAATATAATTTGATATTGCCTTTGAGACTTTTCTGCTTGTGGAGCTCTTTATTTCCCACCCAATTTTTTCTTCTTAAAGAGCATAGATGTATGTAAACACAGCATTACACAAATGTGGAGTTCTCCTTGTCTCCTGGCTTATGCTGCTGTGTAATATTGCTCTATAACCATTAAGCAGCTGCTCTGCCTCAAAGACGGGCACATTTCCTTTGGTACATGAAATGAGTTTACTCTGAATCTCTCCAAATTACTTCAAGATATTTAGCCTTTGCATTAGCTGTTGAGATTTACAGTGGACCGTGTATCATGGGAAACTGTGCCTCTGTAAGTCTGCATAACCGGGAGGCTACAATGGGCTTTATGGCCTCAGCAGTTCCATGGTGTTTTGCTAAATCTCTGACTGTATTATTGCAAGATTCTGGACCCACTATGAGAAAGATCCTTCCCAACTATTTGCCCAAGTATTTGTCCTCAGCCTACTTGAGCAAGTACTATTAGTGGTCCAAGAGCTAGGTCATTCATTCTTTTCTGTGCCTGTCTTAGGTGACTCCTGTCTGTTGCAAAGGTTATGCTATGTGCAAAGACACAAAAAGTGCCACTACAAAACTCAGCTACCCATCACCTGCTTCCCACCCACCACCAGCCATTTGGCTTATTGTCAGTAGGCATTATTATTTCTGTTTGGCCATGTTCCCTTCACTTGTTTCTCTCTATGAACGTACCCATAGAGATCCCTCTGTGAGCAGAGCCCAGTGGGTGCTGTGGGGTTACATTTTATCAACTGGGTTCTGATATAGTTCCATTATTTTTCATAGTTTTGGTAGAAAACAAATCTTTCATTTTTTCCTTATAGATTTCAATTTCTTATCACGTATCACTACTGAATCATCATCATTTTGTGTTTGAATGCCTATTTTCCTGTATAAATTAGAATTGAGGTAGTTCATCCCTCCCTTGTGATTAGGCTCAGAGTGTCCCCATGCTACCTGTCCTAATCCATGTGACTAAGAAGCCTTAACTACTCATGGATAGGGGTTTATCAATCTTGTTGATTTTCTTCAGGAACCAGCTTTTTGTTACATTGATTCTTTGGATTGTTTTCTGTGTTTCTATTTTGTTGATTTCAGCCCTCAGTTTGATTATTTACAGTCTTCTACTCCTCCTAGGTGAGTCTGCTTCTTTTTTTTTTTCTAGAGCTTTCAGGTGGGCTGTTAAGTCTCCAATGTGTGCTTTCTCTGCTTTCTTTAAGTGGGCACTTAGTGCTATGAACTTTCCTCTCAGGACTGCTTTCATAATGCCCCATAAGTTTGAGTATGTTGTTTCTTTATTTTCATTGAATTCAAGGAAGACTTTAATTTCTTTCTTTATTTCTTCCTT